TCTAACGAGGAGGTTAGATGCAACCATAAAGTATACAAAAATTATTACGCAATCCGAATTTGGAGTTGTCCTTCAAACGTATCTCAGAGGTGGGGTATGTTAAATATACGGATACTTGGCGAGGTCACGTGTTGATCATGAACGTATATCGGGATCGGGCCGTGACATGTGTAGAGTGTCGGGTTTTATCGATGGTTGGGGTTCTTTCCACCTTCTTGCCTCTGCTTGGCCTTGTTGCCTTTATTGCTTGTGGGTTGTTTCCTGCGATCTTCCTTCAATTCGTGGTGCTGATCTTTGTTGCGCTCTTTGAAAATTGTTGAAGTCTTCTTTTCATCCACTTATCGGGCTATGATCGACTTGAATTCTAGTGTTGGAGGCTTGGTATGCAACTTTCTGGCGGCGGTGGTGGATACAGGCAATTTGGGTTTACTTTGGGTTTCTTCTTTGTTGCGCTCAAAATTTTGTTATGGGGTTTTTTTTTTTTTTTTTTTTTTTCCGTTTGTTTTTTGGGTTCTTTTTGTTGTATTTAGCTGGGCCTCACCTTGTGTAATTTTGTTGTGTTGTTAATGAAGTTTCTTTGACCAAAAAAAAAAAAAAAAAACTTCCTCAGGAGTTACCATGGCCATGATTTACTGCATTGTTTATGTAAATTGATGGCTGCATAATAGAACTGAAAACGGAATAGCATGAGAACTCATCAACCAAAACCAGGAGGCACATCAGGGTCCTCATCACTACCATCACGTGCCTTTTATATAATTAACCAATAATTCCTTACAAAGTTACAAAGAAATAATAAAGGGACAATAATAAAACTTCAATTCTTCTAATGATACAAGAAAATTTCTCGTCCCCTATCTAATTAATTTGACCTCATCTTGCCTACCCTCTTGGATTTCCTAGTTCATATACCTACTTCAAATGCACATATAAAATGATATGCATGAATGCAACTGTTGAACACTTTCTATGTTTCCGTTAATCCGTATAATATGGTAGTGGTGATGTGGTATACTCAATTATACAACTAACTCCCTTCACAAAACATTCAAGGCCCATATTTTGTTAGTCTTTTTGCCTAATTCTTTGTCGCCAATTCTGAATTACCCAATAAAGACTATGTGCACTTTAAACTGACTTAAGACTTGATACCTACAAAAAATTGAACTCAACTACACAAAAGATCCTAACACAACTCCCAAAATTTATTTCCCAACAACTTAACTCATTCTCTCATCATGAGTAGTTCACAAAATCAAGCATAACTGGTTCATTCATCATCCAACTCAATTTATTTCTCCAAATAATTCATAAAATTACATATTAATACGATACATTTGCCTTTGGCCATTAGGGCCAGGTCTGGGGCATAGTCACTTTTATGAACTAAATATAGGCTTTTTAGCCAAAGTGGTCTCTGAGATTTACATAACTCCTCATTTTGGTCTCTGAGATTTGTTGGTCCTTGAGTTTGTCCACAATCAATCATTTTGATTATTTGTGAAAAATCTCCATAAAATAAGAATAAAATGACAAAAATACCCTCAATTTTGGTCAAATTATTTTGGCCTATTATTTATTAAATTGAGTGTAATTTTGTCATTTTGGTCCTAACTTAACATAATTTTTCACCTAAGAACCAAAATGATTGATGGTGGACAATCTTAGGGACCACTTCTATTGATTTCAAGTATCAAGAACCAAAGTGAGGAGTTTTGTAAATCTCCTGATCCATTTTAGCGAAAAATCCCTAAATATATACATATGTTTACTTGAACTATAGTTTTTAACAAGGGTAAGAAAATTTTACGCATACAAAAAAAAAAAAAAAGTTACACCTAATTTTTGGGGTGGTTTTTTTGGGGGGGGGGGGACATAAACCTTGCCCTTCTTGAAAAAAAGAGGGGACATAAACTTGACCCTTCTTAAAAATGAAAATACAAGAAAAAAAGGGGAGGGGGATATATGACCAAACCCCTCTAAAATAAAACCTTAAAGGTAAGACCATGCAAGATAAGCTGCAAAACAAAAAGGAAATTCCAAAAGGATTAGGTAAAAAGAAAATCATACATCAAGAAGGGGAGAGAAACATTTAGGCCGACATGTTGAAGAAATCTGAATTCGAAAAAGGAAGACCTTTGAAGGAGCGTCATGCCAAACAAGTAAAGGCAAGAAAAGCCCTAAATTAGCTAATTTGTTGCTATTAGCAACTGCATTCCTTTCTCGAAATATGTGAGAGCAATGGAAAATCATGTGCTACAACCGGGATATACAGTGTTTCCAATGGGTCTGGAGCTACCAAAGGAGGAGAAAAAGAACCAAAAGCAAAGAAATATATCACACTAAAACAGTCACTTTCTAGCCATAAAATTTTCCAACCCGTGCATGAGCCAACTCCACAGCAAGGATTAAGCATGAAACTTTGCATAGAAAGAAGTATGATGCCCCAAACTTAGGGAGAAACCACCAAGAAAATAACCTGCTGAATCTCGAAAAACCCACAACAAATCGCAAGGCTTGGGTTAACTTTAGTAAGATCATCTGATTCACTTTGACATGACTAAGGAACTATAGAATGAGCTTTACAGAACTCAGTTGAGATTCTAGGAGAGACTATAAGTTGCTTATCTACGTATTGGACCAGGAATGAAAACTCGAACCTACCTAATCCAGGCCAAAGTATAACGACAAAGGCTTGAAAAGGAATGAGACTTACCGTCAAACTTATTTTATTACATATCTTTCAAATAGCCATTAATAAAATAAAAATTAAAAACCTAATGTTGGCCAATATATTGCAAGTTGTGGAGAAAACTACTTTGACACGTAAGCAAGCAAAAAATCCAAAAATAAACCTGTAAATGAAAAAGGGTAATGTTAGGGAGATTAAATTTGAAGATTAAATTTGCAAACTAAATAATATATCACCAATAAAAATGAGTACGTTTATCAATGTTTAAGTAATAAATTAATCATAAACTTTCATGTCTTTTAGTTTTCAAAATTTAATCTCTAAATTAAGTCTCCTTAGCATTACCCAATAAAAAAATAATGCTAAACCACGAACTAATGAATTGACCCACCACCAAACCACGAATTTGAAATTAGGTATGAGTGAAAGAAGAATGAGTCCCACTCGGACGAATAATCTAACACTACTAGTGGTGCGCCCCATTCATTAAAATTGAATTTAACATATGGGCGTGGGCACAGTGGGCAGTGACTTTCAATTTTTTTTTTTTTAAATTTCATTATTTTTATTATTAAGGAGAGAGAGAGCGTTCAAAACTATTATTGCTAACTCGACTAAATTTACCTATTCTCCTTTAATGTAAATAATATTGTTTGCTTGTAAAAAAATTAAGGGGAAAAAAAAAAGTTTCGAACCCAGACGCATGAATTGAAACCCACCACTATATCTACTGAGATATGGCAATGACTTTCATCACTATTAATTATTTTAATTAGGGTAGTGTTATCCACACATCTATTTTTATTTTTCACACATCTCTCTCAATTTTTGATACTGTTATTTACATATTTATTTTTATTTTTTACATACTCCTTAATTTTTGACCGTCGGATCAAATAAATTGAAAAATATCAATAGCTAAAATTTAACAAGGTTTTTGAATAACACCAAACACGATCCTTTAATTTAGTGTTTAAGTAGTCGTTCTTATCTTGATGAATTGTATAATCTAATTCTTAGGCCGACATTAAGATTTCTTATATACCATTTTTGGGATTCATATGGATCATAAGTGGAATGAAATGGAGCCTGGTCATACCCATGGTGGATGCTGAATTTTTTATGATGATATTTATGGGTTTGCTAGGCCACTACTTATCACCATCGATATCAACCTAGTTTTTCTTTACTAGTATTACATGTATAATATTTTAACACAAAGGATTTCGATTCTAATTTTTAGAGAATCACACATTTATATGTTTAAAAATGTCAATTAGACACAAAACTGGCAACACTATGATACACTCTAATACAAGAGCATTTTGTATGTAATGTGAATAATTTTCTATGTAAATAGTCTAGTTTTCGAGAAGAGATTTTCTAATGTATTCAGGCACACCCTCATATATCAATCATTTCGCACACTCATATACTAATATGTGAAATAATATGTTATGTGACAAATATTTGTACACCAAATTTTCTCATTTCGAGAAGGGAATTTCCCATTAATAATGCTAGGTAAATTAATTTTTTAGCCTAAATTTGTAAATTATGTGATATGTCACAAATAGAAAATAAGCATGTTAATCAACACTTAAATAATAATCTAATCATCAATAATCAAATCGTATAATTTACAAAATATAATTTAAATAGACAATCTTCCTAACATTACTATTCACATGATTAAAAGTTTTATAGCCTAAATTTGTAAATTATGTGATGTGTTACAAATAGAAAATAAGCATGTTAATCAACACTTAAATAATAATCTAATTATCAATAATCAAATCATATAATTTACAAAATATAATTCAAATAGATAATCTTCCTAACATTACTATTCACATGATTAAAAGTTTTATATTCTCCATGTTGATCATTATAAAATGTGCAACTGGATTGAAAAGTAATAAGATATATACCTGTCTCTTTCGTTACAAGTCCTTTCCCTGTAATTTTCTTCAATATCACACAACTTTTGTTCTTTAAATTATTATTTATTTTGCACTCCTAAATAAAGAAATGGAGTTTTAACTAAACACTTATGATATTGTTCACTTTTAATGTTAAAGACATTTTTACTCACTCTTGATATTATTCATTTACAACATATTTTTATTATTTTATTAAAAATTCAAAATTTTCAAATCATTTTAATTAATTTTTCTATAAACAAAAAAAATGCTTCAAACTGGCCCAATAAACTAGGGACAAACAGAATAATAGAGGTAAAAACAAGCCGAAACCTCTCGGCCTCATGTGGTCCTCCCTTGATTTATCTGCTCTCTTTCTATTGTTTAAACAAAAACATTTTACCAACTATGGGGAAATCTATGTATTTATATTCCCTGAGTCTCTTAGTGGAGGGGATTAAACTTATATATTTCCAACTTGGGTTTTTCACATTGCAATGAATCCTTTGACCCTCCTTGTTTTAGTGGGAACAGAATTATCATAGTTCATAGTGCTCATTATCCTCAAAACTCAACGCAGTTTCTAAGGAATATAATTCCTCTGTTTTTCTTTCCAGCAGATCCGAGTTATTCTTACACCGGGCAGCAATGGAGTACTGGGACTTCGAGGACAGCGACCTTGCTGCTCTGGTGGGTTCCAGTATCTCACAACCCCAGATGGAGAATCGACCAGCTGAATCACTAGGATTGGAGGAGGACCCAATGAAGCTCTCATCGTCCGGAAGGCTTAGTGGTAGTAACAATGGAGGTGATAAACTGAAATTTCTATGCCTGGTCGACGGTTGCAGGGCGGACCTCAGCCGTTGTCGGGAATATCATCGGCGGCACAGAGTCTGCCACCTCCACTCCAAGGCCCCTGTTGTCGTCGTCAGGGGCGAACAGAAGCGATTCTGCCAGCAGTGCAGCAGGTGCATAATACACACACACGCACACACACACAGAGATATATATATATATATATATATATATATGAACAGTTCACCATGCTTCATTAATAGTTTTTGGTAAGAATAGTCTAATTGTTTTATTTAAATCCGATAGTAAGAGTAGGTTTTATATTGCTTCTGTAAAGGCTAAAACTTCAAAGTATTAATGAACAATTAAAAACTTATCGTATAAATACTTCATAGAAAGGCACTGGAATTTTAATAATAAATTCTACATGTTTGTAACAAGAGCACTTTTAGCATAAGTGCTTTACACAAGAACAGTTTCAAACAAGTCCTAATGTATTTGGTTCAAGGCTTAAAACTACAACCTATCCGATGAATTATCTTTCTAAAATGAATAATCTCCGGTGTTTTCGTTGTCTTATGTATCTTGCCCGGCGAATTTTATGGACAATTGATTAACAAAGAGCTTTTTTTTTTTATTTTTTTTTATCAGTTTGAATCACAATATCTAGATATGATTGTAGATTCCATTCTCTGGTGGACTTTGATAAGGTGAAGAGAAGCTGCAGAAAACGTCTCAGTGGACACAACCAGCGCCGGCGGAAACCTAAACCGGAATCCTTGTACTTCAGTTCCCACTTCTTCTTCTCCACATACAAAGGTATGGAGTCTATGCACCAAATCACTTGAATTGTTTAATTAGGACTAAGTAACTATATTTTTGTTGCTGTCTTCAGTCTTGATAGATGTTTTCCGAACTGGATTTATTTTGCTAAATTGTGATTAACTCTTGGTTTAGAACCAAAAATGGAATTGAGACGAGTACATTTGTCTTTAAGAGGACTGACACACCGTTCTTATAAGAGCACAGATTATTGGCATCAGTGTAGCCAGCAAAACAAATAGGAATGAATCGATGGATTTATATCAATATCCCCTACGATATCTATTGACAGACGTCCTACATAGAGAATTTTATATTTTTCATTCGTTTGGTAATCATCCATATTGATTATTGCCTTGCCTTATGTGTAAAATTATCCGAGAGGTGGGTCATCGGCCCACTTCAAACAACATTGATGTTGTTCCTAATTTGTTAATTATCACATGTCACATCCCAACCCGAGCCCCCACCACATCCCGGCCCGCTCCACCACCGTAGCACGATATTATCCGCTTTGGGCCCCGACCACGCCCTCACGATTTTGTTTCTAGGAACTCACACGAGAACTTCCCGATGGGTCACTCATCCTGGGAATGCTCTCATGCGCTACTCGCTTAACTTCGCAGTTCCCATGGAACACGAAACCAGTGAGCTCCCAAAAGGCCTCGTGCTAGGTAGGGATGGAAATATACATATAAGGATCACTCCCTGGACGATGTGGGATGTCACACGACAAGTGTGAGATTTTATCAAAAAATGTCTCGGTGTTAGATGAAGTGGGGTTAAAATATTTAAACTCTTCTTTTTTCTTTCTTTCTAAGGCCAATGTGAGATATTTCAACATCATAAGATTGTTATTTATGCCTCTCTATTTCTTAACATTCAGGTCCCAGGATCGTGCAATTTGGTAATCCACGAGTATGTGCAACAACTAATGTGAGATGTATCTGGCCTGTTAAGGACAAAAAAGGAGCAGAATCCATGCGTTCTAACTACCACCACCAGTGGTTGTACGCAGCTGACGAACGAAGTCCTCCCAATTCCTTCAACGGCGGAGGAGATAAACAATTTCTTTTCTTGCAAGCAAATGATCCTAAAGCCGCTGCAGGCAACCGAGCAGCCCCTCAAGCTTTCTTGTGCCAGCAACAGAAGTTTCCAACAACCATTGCTGCTGCCTCACCAAAAAGCACTAAGGGTTGTGCCCTCTATCTTCTGTCATCTCATCCAACACAAAATCCAGTTAGTGGGCTAAACCACTGGGCTCAACCCACTGTCACCACAACTCATCCATGCTCACATAATGTGGAGGACAGGCCTGTAAATCCAGAAATGATGTTTCCAATGTGCCCTGATGGCTTTTGGGACAACTGAGCGCAAATGCTTCCAATTTTATTGGAATAGCTTGTGTTTTTAATACTTTACTAGTTTCTCACATGTTGATTGAATAAGTAATCTGGGACTAGTCAACTGTAGAAAACTTCCCAACCATTTGAATGTTTTGAAGTAATTGTGTTTTATGGAAACGAACAATAGTGTTTCTTCCATTTGCTTTCCAAACTAGGAGATGACAAGTTAGTTTGATTTGTGCTTGATTATATCAATATATAATCCAATTAAAGTCTGAAGAGTGAGACTGATGATATCAGGAGTTTTAACACCCACCTGTTTTCTACATGACTACCGTGTTTATTTTTAGCATTTGAATTGAATAATTTAAAAGAAAATCAAGTGACATAAATAAATTCGACCAAAAAAAAAAGTGACAGAAATAAACAAGAATGGCTAGAAAGATAAGAGAGTAGTGCCGAAATTATTTCCCATGACATACATTCTATTAGAGTTTCCTTTCTTATAATAGAGAACAATATAATCCCATGGTTGAGGAAGGAATTCAAAGAGTTATCGACTCTAAGCTAAAGCATCATCTTGAAACTTGGATGAAGTTTGAAGGCAATTGCTCCCACACAATCCCAACTATAGTGAAATTAATCATTATTTGTTCGTATTGATTCTCAACATAAACGTGACCAAATTAAGATGATAGCCGAATTCTAACATGTGTTATCACATGACGAAAAAAATAGAGAAATAAGATATAACATTGGATACATTCAAGAATTCGTTGTGATATAGAGTTGAGCTCAAATTTTGATAGATTTTGATAGCGGGGCGACTCTAATTGGCCAATTAGAGTGCTTAAAATGTACCTGATTAAATATTTTGCCTCAAAGTTTAACATTAATCAGAAAATAACCATTTTAGACTTTTAGTACTGATTTATGAATATTTTCTGCATGGGTTTCGCTCCTTTCTTCTACAAAAGAAGCCAACATTTCAAAGTTCCAAGCATTCTCTGCCCAAAGCCATTATTTCAATATCTTCCTCTCTGTCATACAAATAATGATTTGGTGGAATGATGATAATGATGCTGGCATGGCTCAATCAAACAAAAGTTCTTGATGGTTAATTGATCGGGTCATTTAATCTAATTGAGCCGTGCCAATATCACAAACATGTTACACATAATGTGTACACACTACACATAGATAGTCCTCCCATCCTGTGTATCTAACTTCTTGTTGTGGCCTTTTCTTCTCTATGGAATACATTGGGCTTCATCAATTTTCATTACGAAAGCACGTAAACTCAGACAGAAAACCCAGGATGGGAAAAGGGAGAAAGCCTAAAACTCAGACAAAATGGACTCTCCTTTAGTCAGCTAGTGCTGTCTAATTTGAGTAACTCGCACACTGGTAAGATCATTGTGGGTCCAGTGAAAACGGAATTATATGAGTTTCATGCTATTGTGAAAGGTGTATTTTGAATAACATCGTCTCGGTCGACACCACAAATCAAGTTTTCTCACTTCCATGCTAATATAGAAGAATTGGAGTAAATTAAGATGAGATACTATCTTGGGGACATGTCGCGTTGTCACAGCCTTTGGATTGGGATCAGTTGAATTCCTTAACGATTGAGACCCCCAAAAAGTGAAAAAGAAATATCTCTTGTCATGTTAAGGTAATCAATCTTATGGTTCTTCGTTATCTGTATTGGCAAGAACTTATTGAATCCATCATTTGCGCTAATAATAAATTAAAAGTTGCTCCTGCTATTCAGCGAGACTAACTACTATATAAGTAACGTAAGTAGTGAATTATCCTGATGAATATAATATTTCTCTTTAACCCGTTACATCTCAAATTCAAAGTCTCTCCTCACCCAAAAGCGCATGAACACAAAAGTTGTGGATGGATGCAAAGCAACTACGCCAGTTTGGTTCATGAAAATATTCGATCACTTGCCGCATAAAAAAATTCAAAATTCAAACCGAGAACATAGTAAGAGTCAAAGGCTGGGAGGGAGAATGGACTTACATTAGAAAAGAAGATAGAAAAACAAAGCAAACATGGAAAATAAACAAGAATTCCAACACGCACTAATAAACCAAGTTGTATATAGAGAGGGAATTAGGAATAGGGGACTTTTCAATCAGGTAGAAATAGAATATCTTATCCGCGAAATTTAAAAGTTAGAGAAATGTGGAAGCTTTTTTCAAATTTTTCTACTGTCTAGATAGCACATGCTTGAGTAAAGCAAAGCATCCCCAATTTGCAAGTATCCTTAGCCATAGCTTGATCCATCATCCTAAAGTATATATCATCAGATCATATTCTCCTTTCTCTATCTTTCATTAACCTCCAAAATACAACTGCATAGACATGGTATATCTCTTTGTATGTATATGATAAATACATGATCCTTACCATATATACTACAACGCTAATATCTTTATCCCGGTTTTGCTACAGTAGAACGAGATTCTTGTTAAGAAATAGCTTGTGTGTGTGTGTGTGTGTGTGTAATTCGTAATTACTTCATGCTGATCAGTATATATATATATATATATCATGTGTCTGAGTTTGCACTCTCTAGATTTGCTACATGAAAAGCCAAGCAATCTGAATCTCCTCATATATGATGAAAGTGGATCGACCGAGAGTGCTGGTGTACTTTGAAAAAGACACCGTTCTTATCCCACCAAATATATGCCCCCTGCAAGTTTGCCAGTTTAGGGTTTTTTTTTTTTTTTTTTTTTTTTCCTTTTTCTATTTTTTCAAGAAATTATGCTTGCTGTCTAAATCTCTAGCACCATATGCCTCGTCCAACGACCCAAGCACACAAACAAGAAGCATGAGGTATTGTCTAGTGCCTGTTTGCTACCAGTGTACCACCATATACATATATTCTTGTTGGAAAACAATTCAGAAATAAATAAAAAATAACAGAACTTGAAATATTTTATTGACGAAAAATACTTGCTATACAGAATGAAATAGCAGGAATAAATACATGAATTAAATTGGTAGCAACTTGATTAACCACAAGTAGAAGCTAGCGCAAAAGTTATGTCCTTCGAACAGTATTTCAATCTCACTCTTGTGCCTGTGGTTTTACAATGTCTGCTCGACCATGATACAACTATCTAATTCTATAACCCGCACTAGATTATAGAATTCTAGCGAATTGTTTTGTGTGTAACCCGCACTAGATTATAGAATTCTGGAGAATTGTTTTGTGTGTTTACTCTCTCGAAATTTTGTACGGAAGAGAAAGAGGAAGAAAAGATGATTCTATTTGGAAACTGTGATTGCAAATATATAGATTGTTTCACACCCTTTCAACTACCTGTTGAGCGTATTTGAAAACACACAACTCTTAGAAAGAGTTGTGTCTCTTAATCAAACGTTTCTTAATTAACATGTTAATTAAAAAACTTAATCTGAAATTATAATTAATGAACTTGGATTAATTTTAACTTCCAAGGCATTAGGCTATATTATACAAACCTAATCCACACAATTATAAGGACCAAACCTTCATTCAATTTCCATATGGTCCAAGTTCTAATTACTAGAACAAAGGATTAGACCTATATAAATAGCAATGGAAACTAAAAGTTCCTCATATGGGACACTAAGAATCTCAAAAGTCCAACAATTCTCTCCGTAAATTTGTAAAATATGATGATCACGATGAGGATGACGATCAGTTGCATGATATTTTTCCATGGTCAGTTACTTGAAAATTGATCTGCAAAACATGCACGACCGATCGTTATTCTTTCGAGCACTTTATCTCTTTTTGGAGACGGATGTATAATCTATTCGGTTGTCCTCATGGATCAAGCAACAAAAAGTTGATTAAAAATCACTTTTTAAAACTTGGGGAATCATAATCAGGATATGCAAATTAATCATTTAATACATCACGAAAACATGTCCTTAATTGTAACATAGGCTAATAGTAATCGTTTAGCTCGTGGGAGAAGCATAAAATTCTTGCTTAATTCTCTAAAATGACACATTTAACTGTAGTAGGATATGTGGCCTTTCTCTATAAGTTCTTAATTAATTAGTTTCCAAGTGATTCTGTTCTTTTTATATATTCTAACGCTTATTTATTTTATTTGTCACTGGCAACTAATTATTAGTTTATTAGTGTGCCTAACCTCCCCAAACAATGTGAAGGACATAATTAATCAAACATAATTATTGGTTTTAGAAGAATAATTGTTGAAACTTCCACATGGAAAAATTGACAATACAAATTGCAATAGATAATATATGGTGTTATTTTTAAGGGTGTACTATCCACGCATCTCATTTTACTTCTCACACATCCCTTGATAATTTCTGTCCGTTGATCTTCTTTAATTCATTTGATCTGACGGTCAAAAATTAAAAAGATGTGTGAGAAGTAAAATGGGGTGTGTGGAGATCACACCCCTATTTTTATTGCACCTGAAACTCTTATGATAAAACTCAGCTCCAACTGAGCTAGCAGCTGGGTAAGTTGTGAATGATATTGTGTTGTAAAATTAGTTCGTTTCTCTGAAATTTGGCAATAGTTAAAAAACAAATTCTCATATCTTATAAAGTATTTGTTAACTAATTAGCTGATAGTGATGATCCATACATCGGGATAAATGGAACACGTACATAATTAAAGATGATTCTTCCAGATATTTAGTAGAAGGACCACGATATATACTGTTCGACCATGGCCATCTGCTGCACCCATTTCAACTTGATCAGCAACTTTTTCGAAAGAAAAAGAAAATGCGTACCGCAACAAAAAAATGTTATATATATATATATATATATAGACTCCTCAGTCGTTGCACTACAACATATATATATATATATATATATATTTATATAGACTCCTCAGTCGTTGCACTACAACATATTTGCTCTAACACATTTGATATAGAGCTACATAGAAAAAAGGGACTCAGATTACGAAAATGGAGTCGAATCGTAAACGCGGAGGTTTCATGAAGGGGAAGTTGATGCCGTTCTGCCGAGCTGCAAAACCTAATTCGAAAACAAGTACGCAATATAGTAGCATCGCCATAGCAACAAGCAAGGTGAAGCCGAGCCAGGCTACTACTTCACCAGCTTACTCAGTTGGGTATACAGTCCACGGCCAGGATTACGTGATTGCAGCAGCTCAGCCAAAGCAGAAGGTTTCGTTTATTGTTCCGGCAGGCGCTGCAGATCATCATATCAAAAACAGCCTCATCAAGCAGCAGTACTTTGATCATTATGGCGGTGCTGGTGACGAGGGTGTCGATACGAAGGCTGCCAGC